TCAATGATAAGATTTAGTGGGTGTCTCAAGCAGTGGAACTCACTGAGGCTGTAGTGTCGAGCAAAATTATTCAATCCCAGGTCCTGTATGTATATGGATCGTTTTGTGGTCAATTGGACAAGTGCCGCTGAGCTCAGCAGCAGCAGAATGAGGAAATGTTACAGATGTGGAACATCCAAACGCCGGAAACAAGCATTCCCATGTGGTATGCGAATACAGACAACTATCAACAACTTGCTGCAAAGACTGATTTCGTTGTCCAATCATTGAAGAACTTCTTTTCCTTGCGAACTTATTCTTCTCTTAGCGAGTGAATCATAGAAAAGCATCACTGCGTGGTGTAATAGAAGCTGAGCTGGAAAACGACGGAAATCATGTTTGGCATTTTCCGGTGCATGTGGCTGCTGCCTAACTGTTCTTGGATAGAATCCCGGGTGGACTGCATGAGCAAAATTTCAACTCGTTCCCTTTACACAAGATCACGGTACATTCGGTCGCTATGAGTAAATTTATCTATGCCGTATTCCATTGTAACTTATTTTGTTGTGTGAAGCAAGGTTTTCATTCCTCGATCATCTTAGCGACACCCTCACGGTAAAAAGCTGTGATGCGACGACGTGTGGCGTGTGAACAGTCCTGCCGCTTCGATCCGTTGTTTCCCCGGATGATGGAGGGTGGTTCACGAAATGGGTGAAGCAGATGCATTTCGTTTTCCAAATTCGAACCCTTCCCGATTGGTCCATGTGTGTGTGTGTGGTATACCGGTGTATTAGTGCCTCCGAGACTCTAGAATCGTCGTATTCTTAAAGGCTTAGCTCAAGATACCTGTTTCATCAATACTGGTGTTCAGGCGCCCAATCAACCTGCGGTAAACATTCATAATGTTTAATTATTTATGGTATCTGCAGCATTCAGGAACCGCTAGATCTACTGACTAGGGCCAGAAATCTGCCTAGTTGTGAGTCTCTGAGATTCACGAATAGACTTTGTGTTCGGATCAAAGTGATTGACTCTAGAATGTTTGAGCACTATTGGCCTAGTGTGGCAGGTGTCTAAATATATGTACATGTGTGGGTGTATGGAACGGAAAGAATATGTATGTAGGGTTCGTGCATCACATCTGGATTTAATTTACCTCACAAAATTTAAATTGCGATTTGCACTTTTTAACTATGACCATTTCCACATCTAAAATTGATGGATACACTGTATATGAATTGTGCTGACTGATAGGAAGAGAGAGATTTACCTGGTGCCTACGGTTTTCGATTACGTTCGCCTTAGCTGGTGCACAAATATTGATCTTTTCCAAACTCGATGCGAAAAGACTGTGGTGATCCAGACTTCCGTGACCGCAATCCATGCACGAGAAGGTACAGTATCATCTCATTCAATCACCGTTCAGGAAGCTCGACCAATGGTACACCGGGAGAACATGACATCCGAGTTAGCACATATGATACGTCGGCGCAAACGGTTACGTGATTAGAGGATGCTCGTTCAACCAATCTTATGGACTATTACATTCTATAAAACATGATCTAATTCCATCAATAAATATAAGCATTTGCTGCTATCACTTCCTCGTGTGTTTCATTGGTGTCCGCAGTGAATGTTTCTGCTGAATTGCCGTTCCAGAAGTTGAAATCCCTATTACTCGACCACATTCTCCCAGTGGATTTTCAGGCCACTGAACGGGCCAAATTCAAC